TGATCCTGGATTCACCACTACAATACCCGTAAATATAGCAGAATAAATGTTATGCACTGATACTTGGAATGCCAGTGACTGGGGGGGGGGAGTCTCATGTCACGCGGATGTGATATCCACCTACAGGGAGTCAAACGCCCTCGGGGACAACTTCTCGGTCCAACCTTCCCCGGGATAAGGGAACCAGGCTGTTCAGAAAAAGCAGAACCTTCAAGAGACCGAGCTGACCTCGACCTCAAGACCATATTCTACCGAAGTAAAAGAACACAGTCGATACCTATGGAGGGGGGGGGGGCAGTTCCCGTAGCAATCTTACCCAACCTTCACAAAGACCGCTGCTCCTGGAGTGGCAACTTATGGACAAACTCACACATAATCATCCCGTTGTGTGACAAATCGGTGGGAAAATCCTCAGGATCGTTGGCATCCGGCACTCTCGCTCCACCCTCTGCACTAGTGGCTCGATCTTAAAAATCTTTTGTTCAAAGCTTCACTGCTATTCGAAAGAGGAGCGCAGTTCGGCTTTGGAAAAAAAAGGGGGGGGGGCGGCATTTCGCCTTTTTCGCTACTTCCCATCGTCGTGTTCGTTTCTTAAAAGAGTTGACAAGTCTCTTCAGGCTTTGACTGGTATCACTTAATGACTCCACATTTTTTTTACAAATCTCTTCATGATGGCTCGACACGACGATGGAAAGTCGCGAAAGTGCAAAATGCCACCCCGCACCCTGCCCAAACCGAACTGTGCCGACAGTATTGAGTGAGTATTCTTACTGGGATCTGTTCTGTTCGTTTCCGTCGCATTGACTCCTATGCGATGCATCTTCACAAGATCGCATTCGCCACCAGAACTCAATATACGATAACAGTACAGGAAACCATCCGTCGTTGCAACGAGAAGATGCGGTTGGCCTTTGATTCTGAAGTAATCGATTCTTTTTTCACTCACGACAAGGAACTTTACAAAATCAATAAAAATGAAAAAACGCATAACATAGTCACTCCAGTAACACCGTTTGTTATTTCGGGGGCGGCCCCAGATAACGCTGTCATTGGTGGGGTATGTGATAAGACGATTGTAATATGTCGTGCTGGTGGGCGTGGCAAGGTTCACCGCAACCGGTAGACGAGTTGTCCTGCCTGGCTTTTCAAAATAGAGCATTAAAGGGAGGGAAAACCGCGATGTACCCCATTACGAAGTCGTTCTGCTCGAATTCAAACCAGTTCCGCAGCTACAACCGACAAAACCACAAAGAATTCTGCAGCGCTCATTTCCTCGTACCAAACGACCCGCACCGACGTTACCAATTTAAAATTTCTTTGGCCGTTGCCGGTGCACGGGTGGTGCCCCGTTCGTGCTTCGCGCCCTGGCCTGTGTGGCAGAAGGCTGGAAGCGAAAGGACGCGCCATGATTCGTTCGTCTGACCAGCCAGCCTGGACAACCTCGGATGGTGTCTGTGGCCTTAGCGTTTTTTCGCTGATAACGTTGGCCAACACCAAACCCGTGCCAGAACCGGTTCGGATGAAAAAACACTTAGCGCGACTGATAGGCCGGGAAGAGGGGGGGGCGACTGTCGGAATTTTTTCGTGAGGTAGCCAGTTTCTTAAAAAAAGAGGGCCTCGGCTGGATGGGGCTCACCACCGGAGGGGTGTTCTCACCTTCTCTCATAGAGAGGGTAGTGCCTCAACTACACGGGATCCCTTTTTACAGGTCACCGTAACTTCAACAGGAAACTGCAGACTGCAGATAGAACCCCCCTCCGAGCAGTTTCACCCCGTTTCGGCAGAAAATCGCCTAAGCTTCTCGAGGATCCCTAGCATAATAACTACGAAGACTTAGTTCCCCGAATTCATACTCATTGTGCTAGGGGTCCTCGAGAAGCTTAGGCGATTTTCTGTCAAAGTTTTCTTTCAATCACGAATTCAGAAAAAAAAACTAACGTTGGCATAGCAGCAACATTCTTCTTGTCAGATCCTGGCAATATAGCAGTGGCAAAACTCCGTTCCACAGTCATCAGCTCATTCACTTGCGTTGGAAGGTAATTCGAAGCAGCTTGCGTAAGGTAACCTAACCAACCGCTAGAAGATTCTGCTGTTGATTCTCTGAAGGCAAGGAAGGTCATCTTTTCTCCTACACGTCTTTATATGCTATAAGGAGGTATATCGAATTGGATCAAGCAAGGAGACATCACGACGGTGAGAGAAATCCTTTAAAATATGATTCCCTCTCCATAGAGGAGTCCTAATGATGCGCCCTCTCCCATATGCTTCGATTAGAATAAAAACTAGAGGAGATACTGTTAAACCAACTGTTTCTTTTCTTCTTCCTGCTTCTCCAGCTTGAACACATGAACAGTCTCGGTATTACTTGAAGAACACAAATAGGTGGAGTCAGCAGAGAAAGCCAAAGAATAAATTGTGACGCATCTGTAATACCAAGATAGCAACATAACACCTAATACTGAAAAGTCAGGCCTTATTTATGTCTAGCACCGAGCTAGAGAACAGTGGAATTGCTAACACCCGCAGAAAAAGGGCCAGACCGTAATGGATTTTGCTGATTCTCCAAATGGAAGGAATCGGCGAAATTGACTCCCAAGTAATCTTTCTCGAAGATTCTTCCGATTCCACGCTGTGGCGCTAGAAAGCGCTGGGTACGAACACGATTCCAACTCTACCTGGACATCCCTCGACGAAACTCGAACAATCTCGTCCCCTGAGGAACACTGTAGACGCGTATAACTGTTCCTTTAATGCTTGCAGTTGCGATCATTGAGCCTGGAGAGAAATCCAAAAATCCTGGTGTATAGAACAAATTCAGTATTTTTAATCGCTAACCATCAGCGTTAAACTTGAGACAAGCCAAAGGTCCATCATGAGCTGTGAAAGTGTTAACTGCCGAAAGGTTCATACAATCAAAAATGTGTACCTGAACCGTTTACAAATTACTCACAAGGCAAAACATTTCATTAAGGCAAAACAAACTGTTCAGAGAAACTTCAACAAAGGAGCCCAAGAATAAGGGGAGTCGCAGTAAGGAAAAGAGGGAAATTCGTCAGAGCTCACAGCACTTCCAGGTATTCTTACAGGAACTGAAGACCATTATGAGCCACCAGAACCCTTATGGAGAGAAAGGCGAAAGAGGTACGATTAGTGACAACGATAAAGCGCGTTCTTCCGAATTGGGCAATGACCACTTTTGTATCATAAGGGCGACAAATAGGAAAATTAGGGAGTCAGTAGTGGAACTTCCCAATCAATACCAC